GTCCTGATATGCTATTGCTTGGCCCACACGTCGGGTAACTGTGGGGCTGCCCTATCAGTACTTAGATGTCAGTGGATATGAAAGATTAGTGTAGACTCAGTGAAGTCCAAGGCGGTCAGGAGTGGGCTGGAAAGCAAAACTATAAGGAGGCCTGGAACATGATCCCACACCAATGCCACCTCTACCTGACCTCCGTGCTCAGCTTGAACTCTAAGTCATAGACTTCTGCCCTTGATGTTCATGTAGAATGTTTCTGACAGCTGACTGAGGCAGCAGTAAAGTATAGGAGTTAATTGTGCAGAGGACTCTCAATCCCAGGGTCGTGGGTTTGTGCCCCACGTTGGGTGCCATTTGTAGCTAAAGATTTTCTGGTCCTGCCTGGCCCACAGTCAGGACAAATCTCTCTCACCTGCCAGTCCCCCAGTCACTCAGACCCAATCGAGTAAACACAGAGAGACTTATATTGCTTACAAACTGTATGGCTGTGGCAGGCTTCTTGCTAACTGTTCTTATATCTTAAATTAACCCATTTCTATTAATCTATAAGTTGCCACGTGACTCGTGGCTTACGGTATCTTAAGATCTGCTTCTCATCGTGGTGGCTGGCAGCGTCTCTCTGCCTCAGCCTTCCACTTCCCAGAATTCTCTTCTCTCCTTGTCCCGCCTATACTTCCTGCCTAGCTACTGGCCAATCAGTGTTTTATTTATTAACCAATCAGAGCAACACATTTAACATACAGAACATCAAAGTATACAGCAAAGTATAGGAGTTAATTGTGCAGACTGGAAAGAGACAGCTTAGGTTCACATCTTTGTCTCTCTGCTTGCTATGTGACTTTGAGTAAGTTGCATAATCCCTATGTGCCTCAGTTTTCCTATCTTTTTTTTTTTTTAAAGATTCTTATTTATTATTTATACAATGTTCTGCCTGCATGTATGCCTGTAAGCCAGAAGAGGGCAGCAGATCTCATTACAGATGGTTGTGAGCCACCATGGGGTGCTGGGAATTGAACTCAGGACCTCTGGAAGAGCAGCCAGTGCTCTTAACCTCTGAGCCATCTCTCCAGCCCCACTTTTCCTATCTTAAAAAGACAACACTGATAATGCCTCTTCCATGATGCTTGTGTGGCACGGTCAGTAGTAGTTAAAGGCTAATCCTCATAATTATATATTTTGTCCACTCCATCAGACAAGATGCCCCCTAGGGCAAGCTTATCAGATTGGGTGTTCCCTGAGAACAGAACTTTTTTTTTTTTTTTTTTTTTTTTTTTGAGACAGGGTCTCATTGTGTTGCCCTGGATATCCTGGAACTCATTGTATAGACCAGACTGGCCTCAAACTCACAGAGAATGTACTGGCTCTGCCTCCCAAGTGCTGGGAGTAAAGGCGTGCGCCACAGAAGTCTGGGATTGTCCCAGTAAGGCAGCCAATGAGATCTTTGATCAAAAAGCCAGTGAGAGAATGGAATGGGAGGGGCTGAAGAGTGATGGAGGGATTTCTTCATCTGAGCACCAGGTTTCTTCATCTTCTCAGCTCTCAGGAAGCGGGGACGTGCAAGCTCTTGCCTGCCCGGGAAAGACAGCCTGGAAACAGGCTTGAATTTTGCTTCCCACAGGCTCGATATGGGAGCATCAGTCCACAAGGAGGCAGCAGTCAGGTGGGAGAACCGGCAACAAGCCCTGTGCCGTTAACTCTGCCTGGATTTCAGGCTCCTCTTTTTCTTCTTCTTTGAGATTGTAATGGTCGAATGGTCGGAGTCTTACTGTATAGCCCAGGCTGGCCTATCCTAGGTGCTGGGAGTAACCAGCATGGGCAATCATGCCTGGTTAAAATGACTTTGGTGGGGTGTAGGGATTTGAACCTGGGACCTCATGCATGCTTGGCAAGCTCTCTACCACTAATCTACAGGTCCAGTTCTCAGAACCCTTTCATCTATTGCCTCATGTTTTATTAACATTCTCTGTGGGTGAGCCCAAGGGTTTTGCCCGTTTCTCACTCTCTCTCTCTCTCTCTCTCTCTCTCTCTCTCTCTCTCTCTCTCTCTCTTCCTTTCTTCTCTCCCTTCCTTCTTCAGTGATGAAAATCACCCATTTAAATGTTAAGTGGGGGCCTGGAAAGAGATGGCTCAGCTTCCAAGAATGCCAGTTCAGGTCCCAGAACCAGTTCTCAGGTGGTTTACACCACCTATAACTCCAGCTCTAAGATATCTGATGCCTCTGCCTTTGTGAGTCCCTGCACACACACGAATACCCACCCTGACACACACACACATACTCACACACACACTCATATACATAATTAAAAATAAAACATAGCTGGGCTTGGGGGCACATGCCTTCAATGCTAGCACTCCAGGAGGCAGAGGTAGGTGGATCTCTATGAGTTTAAGGCTAACCTGGTCTACCTAGTGACTTCCAGGCCAGCAAAGGCTATATAATGAGACCTTGTCTCAAAATAAATAAATACTGATAAATCTTTTTTATTTTTGGTTTTTTAGAGATAAGGTTTCTTTGTGTAGACCAGGCTGGCCTGGAACTCACAAAGATCCACTTGCCTCTGCCTCCGGAGTGCTGGGATTAAAGGCATGTGCCACCAACACCTCTCTCTCTCTCTCTCTCTCTCTCTCTCTCTCTCTCTCTCTCTCTGGCCAATACATCTTTTTAAAAAGATGTTAAGTGGCAGACCCAAGCTCACATAACATTAAAAGGCTCTGTTACAACTTCAACTCGGGTGCTCTGGCTCTGACTCTTCTGTTCCTCCTATACTCCCTGACCAAATTCTACTGGCTGAGGGGGCACACTAAACCCTGAGAGTCTCCAGTTCAGTGGGGGAGACAGAGTCCTGCCGTCAGGAGAACTCCTGGTATCTGGAATGAGTTCCTAGCGGGGAGGTCTAGGAAGGACAAAGTCTGTGGTGTCTATATCATTCCAGGCATTTCCCTCAGGGGCCGTCTCTTATTGCAGAGTCCCCTTTGCTAGACGGTCCCTAGTGAGGACCAAGTGACAATACTGCACTGATAATCTAGTCTGACCTTGCTGAGACCAGCTTTATTTTTTTCTTGACCACAGAAGACTTGGTCTCAGGTCACCTCTTTAGTGAACATTTCTCATGCCCCATAGGTAGAGCTGATTGCTTGTGCCTCTAGGTCCCCATGCGTCCTATAGAAATATCTCCCAGGGCACCTGTACATGTCTTAGAAAACTTATTTTTGCTGGACACTGGTGGCGCATACCTTTAATCTCAGCACTCAAGAGGCAGAGGCAGGTGGATCTCTGTGAGTTTGAGGCCAGCCTGGTCCACACAGTAAGATCCACAAAAGCTACATAGAGAAACCCTGTCTAGAAAAACCAAAAAACCAAAAACCAAAACAAAACAAAACAAAAAACAAACAAGCAAAACAAAACTAAAACAAAAACAAACCCCTTATTTTCATTACACACTGATCTCGCTCCTTGAAGCAGAGTGGTTTTGGTCATCTCTTTATTCTCAAGACAACAGGTGCTTAGTGAACGTACCACATGTGGAGAGCAGTTCTTGCTCTCTGGCTCCCTGGGAATGAATCTAGGCAGTGATGGGAAGGACACCAGAGGATGGGTTGGGGCCAGAGGAGGTGCCGCGGTTGAGAAGTGGGGGCATCTGTCTCATTTAGAAGTCTGTACAGAACGGCCACCTTCACCAGCACTCATACTTCATCCCAGCGTTTCTACTCATCCTGGGTTTGCTGTCTGGCAGGCACTGGGCTTCAAAATTGTCCTTATGGGTCCATTTATTCCCACAGGAGTTCCAAGAGGTGGGTGGAATAGGGAGTCATAATCAACCTTCCTTTTAGCTAGAGATGAACTTCAAGTTCATCCATTAAGTAGGAGGCCGACTGGATTTAAGGAAGAGAACGGGGAGAGGGGGGCGGGAGGCAGGGACTGGCTTTTGAATCAGAAAAACGCTGGCTTCCTCAGGAGCTTGAAGAACCTGTTCTGTTTACCTTTCTCCAAGGCAGATGGGACAGGGGGGAGCCAACTTTATCCTTGAGATGTGACTGAGAGTCCTTGTGTCCGGCCCGAACACGTCAGCCCTCCTGCAGTCTTAAGGGTTGCCAGTAGGTGCCGTCAGTTCGCAACTTTTTGGTCTGGCCTTCAGGTCCGGGCTCTTGGCGCCTTTCTTCCTCCAACCGCGCCAACACTCTGCTTTTGCTGAAAGTGGGAGGTGGCTTAATCCCCCGGCTGAAAGACCCCTGCCCGGGGACAAAGAGCAGGAAGAGATCTAGGAGCTGCACCTTAGCTTGATTTCTCCTTAGAAGTTTAGGCCAGACCCTCCCGACCCCATCTACCCCCCAAATCCACTGAGCCTCCGAATATGCCCGGATAGAAATTAACTCCTTGGTTGGGGAGGATGGAGAGGCGTAAGGAGAAACGAGAAGGAAGGTAGGAGGTGGGTCTCTAAACCTATTCCCACTTCCAACAGGATTGCTGCGAGCCGTAGGGGATAGATAGGCTTATCAATAGGGTGTCGCCCAGGGGCGAAGTGGCGTCGGGAAAATGAAGAAGAGGCTTCCCATTCTGGAAATCTTTGACTGCCACCTACTGGGAAACGGTCACAATAACAATATAAATACACAAAGAGTGGTGCCCTCTGGGGTTGTTCAACGCACATCTTGTACACGGCCAACGTCAGTCTCCCAGGCCAGTCTCCTTCCAGAATCTAAGCGAGGCAGTAGAGGGGGAAACATCTAAGGAGGAAGAGGCTTGGCACCTTGTCCTGGAATTAGGGAAGCAGGGTGCAGCGAGAAGACTGCCGATCAGGAATCGCCCCAAACCTGGGGCCCTCCTGAACCCCTTGTAGAGTGCTTGACCGCCTTGCCCCACCTCACTCAGGGCGGTCTCCAGAGCTTGAGACTGGACGTACCGGGGAGTAGGGTGGGGTGGCCACCTCCGGCCAAGGAAGGGGACTGAACGCGAGGGTCGCCTAGGTGTCTGGGAAGGAATCCTTCGAGGTCGGGGTGGGGGTGGGGGGAACGGGACCAAGCAGCATCTCCTTCGCCTCCCCTCGCCCTGCCTCCCGCACCCATCCTCCGAGGGCTCTGGTTCAGAGGCTCAGAGGCGCTCTGCACGCCGGCCATCGCTTCCAAACGGCGCCGTTTTGTTTTGTTTTGTTTTTTTCGTTTTTTGTTTTCTGCGGAGCAAAGGACTTTCAGATATTCTAGCGGTGGCTGCGACTCAGGCCAGCGCCCCCTCCCCCTAACGGCCTCCTCTCCCGCTCCAGTTCCCCCTCGCCCGCCCCTGCTCTCCCACCTCAGGGACGGCGCTGGGGGTGTGGCCAGGGGGCCGGTATAAAGTCCCGGGAGCCGGTCCCGGGCAGCTGCTCAGCCCCCTGCCCCCGCCGCCTGCTGGGCCGGGCCGAGGATGCAGCGCAGCGCCTCGGTGGCTAGGCTCGCTCCGCTCCGGCGTGCTTGCTAACTTCCCCAGCTCGGTTCCCTGCCTGCCTGCCGGGGCCGCCCTGTGTCCCCGCGCCCTCCGGTCTGGTCCTCTAAGCGCACTGGGCGCTGCCTCCGGGTCCCTTGCAGCCAGCTCGCGAGCCCTCGCTCCCTTTCCGTGCTCCATCTTCGTCCTCACCATGCTGCCCTTCGGCCTCGTGGCCGTCCTGCTGCTGGCCGCAGGGCCTTGGCCGAGCTTGGGCGACGAAGCCATCCACTGCCCCCCCTGCTCCGAGGAGAAGCTGGCGCGCTGCCGCCCCCCTGTGGGTTGCGAGGAGCTGGTGCGGGAGCCCGGCTGCGGTTGTTGCGCCACTTGTGCCCTGGGCTTGGGGATGCCCTGCGGGGTGTACACCCCACGCTGTGGCTCAGGCATGCGCTGCTACCCGCCCCGGGGAGTGGAGAAGCCCCTGCGCACACTGATGCATGGGCAGGGAGTGTGCACGGAGCTGTCCCAGATCGAGGCCATCCAGGAAAGCCTGCAGTCATCTGGTAAGGCATACCTACCATTTCTTTACCACCTTTCCCAAGAGCCCTCCTCCCTGCAACTTGGCTCCCATCCTGGTTGGTCTGGAAGGCCCGTAAAAAGCTCCCAGTGAGTTGAGGAGAAGGGAGGTACGTGGCAGAGCTGACAGGCACAGCCAAGAAAACTGGCACTGAATCCCAGGGCCAGTTGTCACTGGTCAAGGGGAACCTGGTCCCATCCCTTCATCTCAAACCTCCCAGGTACTTCTTTGGGAAGAGAGGCCTCGGCCTCAGTGGTAAGCCTGGTTCCTGAGGCGATTATGGTAAGTTAAATGATCTGATTCAGTTATATTTGTCATCCAGAGCCAGAAAACTGCGATGGTGTGGGGGGTGGGGGTGGGGGGTGTTGGGATGGTCCCTTTCTGTTCCTGATCCAGGGTCCGATCCACACCCAGTTTCAGGTGAAACCCAAAGGTGTGAGGAACCAGTGATTTTTCAGTCATCACCCTGTGGTGAAGTAGAACATAAAATCAGAAGGACTTCAATAGTAAAGAAGGAGATTTGTATCTCCCCGAAGGCCCTCAACGTAGTGGAAGGCAGCGTTCTTTCTGCCAGGCTGGCACATCCAGGTTTCTCGCTCCTTCCTCTGGCAGGTGCCATCTGAGGGGTCTGGAGGGAAGCGCTGGCTGACAGCCCAGAGCTGCAGAAACCTTCATTGTTGGGGACTGAGAGGAGAGGAGGAACAGAGAGACAAGTAGACAGATTTTCAAAATGTCCCTTGCTCTGGTCTGGTAGTTACTTTTCTCTTTCTCCATTTCTCAGTGGACCTTTCTCAGTTTCTTCTGAGAATCTCTCTCTTGTCCCTTCGTGATTTCCTGCAGTGTCTGTCTCTCAACTTCCAGCTGCACCAAACAGTCCCGAGTTCTCTTTTTCTCGGTCTCCTGAGCCTCATTGGTTTCCTTCCCTTGCTCTGCCTTAGTCTGTTTTTCTGATGACCTCTCAGACTTTTGTCTCAGACTCTGTTGCTCTTTTGATGGCTCTGTTGGTGACTCTTCCTACATATCTGCTACCCTTTGGACGTTCTGTCTGTCTGTATCCCCCCTTCTCAACAGCCTGGCTCTCTCTGAGCCCTGTGTGTGCTCCTCTCTTTTCCTGGGGCTTGATTCTTCCATTGTTGCAGTCCGGATGCTGGGACTTCACCCCGAGCTTCCTGCTCTGGGTCCCAGACGATCCACTTCCTCAATCCTCAGCAGTTTATGAGTCCGAGGAAAGCAGGATGCAGGGAAAACAGGAAGGAGGTGGACCCCAGGGCTGCCTCTCTGCCCTTCCTGCCCCTGGGCAAGGAGAGATGGGTCAGCAGAAATATTCTGGGAGAAGTGCCAGACTGGCACCCAGCGTTGCTGGAGGGGGAGGAGGGTCCTGGGAGAGTGAGTCCTTGATCTTGGGGCAGTGAGACCAGGAGGGAGGGCTGCATTTAGGATGATGCCCACTTTGCTCTCTGCCAGCTAGTGAGCATCTAGCAGCAGGTAAAGATGGCTGGTCGTCTCCTCTCTCCTCAACTTGAGCACCAGCCAGAAGAGAGCTACAAGAGTCTTCTCTTCCGGTTGAACAGAAACATCCCTACATCGTGGAGGAAAAACCAATCCCCCAGGGGGTTAGGAAGACCCGGCACAGTTTCTCATTGTTCTGTAGATGTGAGGCAAGTCAGCTTCTAGAGAAGTCTAGGAATGGGGTGCCTTTAGGTCTGTTCTGGAATTCAGAGCTCAAGTCACTAATTCTCTCACCTCGTCGACTTGTTTTCTGCCCACACTATGGATACAGCTGTCTGAAGAGGTAAAAACAGAAACCAGAAGGACCCTGGAGACAGACAATTTTTTTTTCCAATACAAGGTTTTTCTGTGTAGCCCTGGCTGTCCTCGAACTCTCTCTGTTGACTAGGCTGGCCTCAAACTCACAGATATCCGCCTGCCCCTACCCCCTCAGTGTCAGAATGAAAGGTGTGCACCACCACCACCTGGCTGACATTAGACACTCAGTTGGCAAGCTATGGTTAATGCTTTCTAGTCATCTCAGTACTTCCCTGTCATGACCTGACACCTTTGCATCATGGGAGGAGTACCCACAGAGCCTTGCAGGGTCTCTGGTGAAATACTGAGCAAGGCTCAGCCCCTGTCTCATTCCTTACACTGTCAATAGGCCATTGTCCCTTCTCATTCTCCCGGTTTGGGACCTGGAACTCATTTGCTCAAAGGTGTCAGTCTATTCCTCCGCTCTTTGCTCTTGGGACTGAGCTCCAGATGATCATCTAAGTAAGTGGTCCTTTGGCACGAGCTCTCCATCTTATTTTTTTCCTCGGGGCAGGTTGTCCCTTCCATTTCCAGTCTGCCTTGCTCTCCTTTCTGACAGGTTGGGGATCAGCACTACCAAGGCCACCAGAGGTGGGGACCGGAGCATGCGTCATAAGTCTACAATTTCACATCCTCGACTCTTGAAATCCAAGAGAATGTTCGATGGGGAGGTCAAGCTTGGGACAGGGAGTTCCTAAACCAGGCATTAGGTCCCTCCGGGACAGGGTTAGGGAACAGGCAGGCTGGGTTAATTTTTAGTCAACACAGCAAATATTGTCCCTGCTTCAGTGCTGGGAATGTAGTCATGCCATGGAAACTGGGCCTTCCCCGACATTCCGTGCTTTAGGGGAGAGGGGAGGAAGAACATGGCTGCCTAGAGTTTTTCTTTAATACCAATAAAGCCCAAATTATTGATGCTCAAAGTGGCCAAAGACAAGTCTCCCTTCCTCTTCTCCACTTCAGTTTCCTCCTTGGTCAAAAGCCTCATCGTTTTGAGGTGTTTGGCACAGAGTGTAAGGTCACTAGGTTGGAGTGATGGTGAGGTGCAGATGAGGAAGCCAAGGGGCTTTGCAGAGCACAGGGTAAGGGAGAGTCCCAGGAGTGGAGAGGGGTTGCTTGTTTTTGCGGGGTCTCTTGTCTCACTAGAGGCCAGCAGCAGGGATCAACAGTAAAGGGCACCCCTTGATCAAAGTCTCAAAGAAACAACCTGGTGTCTGTCATGGGTGGTCTTGGGTTCTTCAGTCAAGGTCTAGGGGATGAAGGAAGAGAAAGGTATTTTTGGTGGGCAGGTGGGTGACTCTCCAGAACATGGCTGAAACGTCTGAGTCTGGGTGGCAGGACCCACTCAATTCTTAGCTTGGGCGTCTTGGAGGGGTCAGGGGCTGGTCCTGAAGAGAAATCATGGGGGTGAAATTAGGGAGCAGGAACTTCTGCCTCTACCGGAGCCGGAGCTGTGCATAGCTTCTCCCTGGGGGCTCGCTCCTTGCCCTGCTCCGCTGTGGAGCGAAGAGCAAGCCTTTACCATGGCTGGATGGCAGTCTGCCCAGCTCCACACAGGAGCTAGAGGAGAAGACCTGCTCCCCGTCGGCAGCTCCCCTTCCTAGACAAGCTTCTTGGAGACCTAACAGGAGGAGGGGTCTGCTTCCATTTCCTGCTCAGGAGCATCGGGACCTTGGTAGAGGGCATTAGAAGCTGGAACAGTGTCAGGAAGTTAATGTTTTTGAGAGGTCCCTAGAGATGGACTCTCCAGGTAAGCATGGATGGACAAGGAAAAGTTACAGATTAAAGGAAGAGTCAACAAACCATGACCAGAGAGACTGGGATATTAGTGAGTCCTGGCTTGGTCTATGTTTTTGACTAAGGTAAGGTCAGAGTACGTGAGTGGGTGTAGATGTGCACACCTGGACGAGCATGTGTCTGAACTTGTGATTGTCCGTAAACATTTGCGGTTCTGTGTTGGTGGGTGGATGTGGACTTAATCTGTGTTATGCCCCAAGACGGATTAGAAGCTACTCTCCTAAAATGGTGGGCTTTACTCTAAACGTAGATTCGAACCAGGGGTCACTGGGCTAGGCCATGGAGACACCCATGCTCGGGGCCCATGCAGGCTGCTGACTCAGCTGTGCCCATGGCAGGCTTCTGACTCAGCTGTGCCCATGGGATGCTTTAATTCTGATGTCAGTGTAAGCCATGCTTCTAGGCTCACTCTAGCCCCATGTAGCTCTAGGTTTCAACAAGCTACTCAATTGTTCTCCTTAATGGAGAACATCTCAAATGCCCACGGATAAGCCCCCAAGGACTCCTCATGGTTGGCTTCTACTCACAGAAATGCCACATTGGGAAGCAGAATTGTGGTCAAGTCTCTGGGTCACCTTTTTCTGGACTCTTGAAGGCTCATCATATCAAAACTCTGGGACTGTAGGGTGGGCGTGCTCTCTATCACCTGAGGCAACTCCTTTCTTTAAAAGCTCCTAAACAAAACTGAAAAAAAAATATGAAGGCTAGGGGCCAGATTATAGTGGCACCTGCCTATAATCCAATACTTGGGCAATGGATAGGAGGAAGGGGATTCAAGGCCAGCCTCAGCTATATAGCGAGTTTGAGGCCTGACTGGGCTACATGAGACCCTGTCTCCAAACAAAAGAAAAAGAAGAAAGAGATTGTAGGGCTGGGATTGTAGTTTAGGGATAGAATACTTGCCTATCTCCTTACCCCGCCCCCACCTCAAATTCTTCCTTACTCCTTGAACTCTGAGCCTAAAAACATTTCATGTTTACCAAGAAGAACCAGAGACTCTGTGCAAAGCCATTCTGATTGTGAAAAGACAGCGAATCAGAGAGAATAAACAGACTGGAGTTATCACGTGAATCCCCGGACTACCCTCCATCCTCTTTAACTGACTCTCTCAAGCTTGATGTAGGTCTGGGGCCCCCTTGGGACAATCCTTTTGTCACCTACACATAAGGATGGTTGTGTCTATCTGCATCGTCCATTTCCATTCTTTAATTCTACACCAGTACTTCACTCAGGACAAAATCTCCTATCCCTGGTGAGTCAGTTTTATTTGGGTATGGAATCTTAACAGGTTTTTTTTGTTTGTTTGTTTGTTTGTTTGTTTTTTTATGGTATAGATCCCTCCTTGCCTGGTGTCCCTTCATCAGCATGCTTCCCTTCCCTTATCCCCAAACCAGAAGAATAAAATAAAAACCAACCCCCCCCAGCTTTGGCTAGGCAGAAAAACACCATTTGACCCAGAGGCAGCTCTGGGACTGTTGCCATGTATGGAGGAACCTGCTAACTCCTCAGAAAAAAAAAAAAAAAAAAAAAGTCCTGACGCAAACCAGATGTAACCTCCTGTCGGCCTGCCAACATCTGGAATGCTGGCAGGAGCTCTGCACTTGGGCCTGCAGTGAGCTGCCAAGTCTGAGCATTTCAGAGGTGGCTGTGATGTGCTGAGAAGTCTTTCCAACCTCCTTCCCTCTCAGCCTTGCATTCTGGCCCTGGCTGCCAGGAGGGAGCGGCGGCATGGTCACGATGCCGAGCCTTCTGGATGGCGCAGCTCCCATCGAGCCTTCAGGAGGGGCCTTGGAGACAGGGTCCAGTTTCATGATTCGCATCTCCAGATAGCACTTTGCCTGTTTCTTGGTAACTCGTTTGGTCATTGAATGGGGCCTCATGTTTAAAGATGTGAGGTAGACTGGAGAAATGTATGTGCTGCCTGTTTTCTTTGTTCTGGGGGGGGGGGGTCACATGGTTTCTCTCTCTCTCTCTCTCTCTCTCTCTCTCTCTCAATGTGTGTGTGTCTGTCTCTCTCCTCTCTCTGTCTCTCTCTCTCTCTCTCTCTCTCTCTCTCAGTGTGTGTGTGTGTCTGTCTCTCTCCTCTCTCTGTCTCTGTCTCTCTCTCACGCAGGCACACACACTAACAGACCCAGACAGTGCGAGAATTTTTAGGGCCAGACTCCTCGCTCATGGAAAATATGATTTTGGCCCTAGGGATCCCTGGCAGGCTCAGCCAGATGCTGAAAGAGCAGGGAAGGAGACAGGAAGAGTGAGCAGATGGAGAGGGGGATGGTGGGAGGAGCTGAACAGAGGGGGTAGAAGATCCAGTAGTTCCCCGCTCCCACTGCCTGCCTCAGACCTCCCTGCAGGGCCCAAGGGATCCCCCCTGCCATCTGGGCGGCTGCAGCTGGTGACTTTTCTGAATCCTGAACTGGGTGGGGTGAGGAACAAGTCAAGGTCTTCAAGAGGAATATTCTTCCAAAGACATCCAGAGAAGTGGGGTGGAGGTGGGGGCTGCTCCTGTTTCAGGCTCCATGGAGACTCCCGATGGGGGAGGAAGCAGGTGGGGAGTTGGAGGAGTGGAAACCTCTGTTCTTTTCTGATGCTGACCTCTGCCTTTCTCCCTACAGACAAGGATGAGAGCGACCATCCCAACAACAGCTTCAACCCCTGCAGTGCCCACGATCATAGGTGCCTGCAGAAGCATATGGCCAAAATGCGAGATCGGAGCAAGATGAAGGTCGTGGGCACACCCCGGGAGGAACCCCGTCCTGTGGTGAGCACCTCTGACCCACAGATGTGTGGGCCTAGAGAAATTCCATGACTAGATCTGGCATATGTTCACCTAGCAAACACAGAAGCCTCCTGGGTGTGCAAGATGTACCTCATGAGAGCCCAGGGAGGATCCCCATCTCTCTCTGTGATTCCTTTTCCGCTCTGCACATAAATATGACGGAGCTGAGTTGACTGGCAAAAGCAGGGTCCAAGCTCCCTAGTGTTTCTTTTTCCTTTCTTTCTTTCTTTCTTTCTTTCTTTCTTTCTTTCTTTCTTTTTTCTTCCTGTTTTTTTTTGAGACAAGTTTTCTCTGTGTAGCTCTGGCTGTCCTGGTACTCACTATATAGATCAGACTAGCCTTGAACTCACAAAAATCCGCCTGCCTCTGTCTCCCAAGTGCTGGGATTAAAGGCGTGTGCCACCACCGCCTAGCTTTTGGTCCTTTTTCTCGGATTCTCTGCCAAGTCTTAGAAACAAAAGGGTTTAATAAGCTGGCCATAGCAAGAGGATTTGGGATCCTACTCTAGGGTCTGGCTAATTGTTCCAGTGGACTCAAGCCTGAATGTCACCTTGTCTGTTCCTTTTGCTTAGGCCTGTGAGTTCCCAAGGCCTCTTCCCTTCCCACTGCCCCCTTTAAAGTCTCTCTCTCTCTCTCTCTCTCTCTCTCTCTCTCTCTCTCTCTCTCTCTCTCTCTCTCTCTTGAGAGACAGGATCTCACTTTGTAGCCCAGGCTGGCCTAGAACTTCCTATGTGAACCAGGCTAGCCTTGAACTTGCAATAATCCTTCTGCCTCTGCTTCCAGAGTGCTGGGATTGCAGATGTGTGCCCCCCCACCACCTGCTTTAGTGACCACCATTGTTAGCTGAGCCAGAGTCTCTGCTTCCGATTCTTGTGCCCCTGCCTAGTACCCAGGCTTTGACTCTTCGTACAGGGCCTTTAGCCCCCTTTAAGCTCAGAGCCCCAGTTTGGTCTTCCTGCCTCTCTCTTCTGCTGAGCACTTTTGTTCCTCATTCCCCAGCCCCAGGGTTCCTGCCAGAGTGAGCTGCACCGGGCCCTGGAGCGGCTGGCCGCCTCTCAGAGCCGTACCCATGAAGACCTCTTCATCATCCCCATTCCCAACTGTGACCGCAATGGCAACTTCCACCCCAAACAGGTGGGTCTCCCTTCCTGCTGCGAGGTGCTGGACTCCCCCTCCTCCTTTCCTCAATGTAGTGCTCCTTGTCTCTGAATGTCTAAAGCTTCATCTGGGTTTAGGGATGGAGCCCAAGTTACGAGAAGTCAAGGAGGAGAGAGCTCACAGTTCCGCAGCTGAGCTCAGATTCCCGGGGGCAGTAAAGATGGAGGTAGAGCCCGGTCTGGTGGAAGCAGAGGAGAGGGGTCAGGAGAGAAGGAAGCAGGCTGTGGCATCACGTTCACTCACTCCTTCAGAATGCCTGGCGTCGCTGGCATGAACAGCAGGGGCAGCTTGCTCCATCTGATCTGAGCCCATCAGGAGGGTGGTATATCTGGGCAAGGGACAAGAGTGTCTTATGCTGAATGTGGTCTGGGGAGCCTTGGCCTGGTTCTCCCCTAGGTCATGTGAATGTAGGCACACTTGTCGGCCTCCCACTATGGAAATGTCCCCAGCGTGGGCTGCTACTCAAGCAGCAGAGGCCTCACTAGGAGGATAACACTACTGTCCTGGGTCTGTACATCCCAGTGTGGCAAGGTGAGGGTGTGGCGAGGTTGTGTGTCCCAAGTGACGGGCCAGAGAAGGTTCCTCAGAACCAGTGCCTGGCCTATCTTCAGCCTTCGTCCCAACACAAATTCCATGTCTCAGTTCTTAATAGCCCCCACCCCTTAATTAAACAAACCAAACAAAAACACCTGACCATTTTTTAGAGTAGTTTTGGGGTTTGTGGAAAAACAAGGAGAAAGTGCAGGATTATCCAGTTTCGTCACTTTAACCATAACCCCTAACCCAACTTCAGCTGTGGTCCTGATGCTGCTACCTTCACCCTGACTTGGATCCTGCTCCCAGCTCTAACCCCACGCTTCCAGTCCCATTCACGACACACCTGAAGCATCTTCAATGCACCCAGCCTTTACAGTCCATCTGTGCCTTGAAGTCTGAGGACCTTCTTAGGTCCCTGACCAGAAGGTTCTAGAACTTCCCTTGGACAAATCTCCCCACTTCAGTGAGCTCTAGGGACTGGTGCTCAAAAAGAGCCCTTGCCTTCAGATATCATGTTGGAGGAGCACCTGTCTGATCCGGGGGCTGGACTGGAGGTGGGGTGATCTACCTGGGCTCTTTTGGCCTTCCTGGGAGCTGACCTCTCACATCCTTGTCTTGACAGTGTCACCCCGCCCTGGATGGACAGCGTGGCAAGTGCTGGTGTGTGGATCGGAAGACAGGGGTGAAGCTTCCAGGGGGCTTGGAACCCAAGGGGGAGCTGGACTGCCACCAACTGGCTGACAGCTTCCAAGAGTGAGGGCTGCCCGCAGGTGGGGGGACTCAGTGCCCCCTCCTAGGCCCCTGTGCTCTGGGGGCTGTAGAGTTGACCTGGTATGGAGTTTTGGTCTGAGTCCCGGCTCTCTGCCTCTGGCCCTGCCCAAAGTTTCCCTTGGTGTATGTGTCTGCGTGAGTGTGTGTGCGTGTGTGTGTGTGTGTGTTTATGGGTGCAAGTGTGGCCCATGGGGTAAGCCTGAGCCTAGAGTACCCACTATGGGCTTACATAGCCCAAGAGGTCTGAGTGTAGGGACAGGAAGCCCCAGTGCGTTTTCAAATCAATCTTGAATTCATTCATTCATTCAGCCATCCGAAAATATGTATTGACAACATACTACATGCCAGCTTTAGTTTTCAACCCTGGGAGACCTCACTCTCATTTTCTGATTGTAGCATGCGAGGTGTTCCTATAAGGTAACCAGAGGCCTGTAGGAGAAGAGAAACCTCATTCTTGGAGTCAGAGAGGAAGAAAGTTGTGACCACACTCCCTGTCCTCATCCTAGTCAGTGTGGGAAGGTGGGAAGTAGAAGAGGGCTTAAGGCTCATGAGACAGGCCTCTTCTCTCAAGCCAAGCTTTGCCCTGGTCCCCTGTTCTCATCCCTCAGGTTCCCCAGGGGCAAGAGGTGGAGGGACGGGGCCCATCTTTGGGTCTGGGACTGGGTTATCTGATTGATTGCCTGGCAGATGGAACTCTGCTGTGGGAGAGGAAGGCCTGAAGGACAGGGACCCGGGGGGTGGGGTCATCTCTTTGAGCAGTCAGGAGAGAAGAAAGGATGGAGGGTGGCTGTGTGTGCCTGATGGAGAGGATGAGGATGCTGAGGACCTGCCCTGGACCCCCTGTGGTTCCTGGTCATGAAGTCATCAGGATGACCCTCTCTCCCCAGCTGCCCACTGCCTGTGACCCTGCCTCCCTCACCCTATTTTCCTTCCCTGGCACCTCCTGTCCCACTTCCTCTACCCTCCGGGGCATTTTCTGGCTTGCCTGGATAGACTTAGAGACCTGCTTGTTGGCTGTGATGTCTTTTCATTCAATTTTTTTCTTTTTTTTAAAAAACAACAAAAAAAAAGAACAAAACCAAAAGATAACTGTTTGATTTATTGATTTCTTTCCTTCCTTCCTTCCTTCCTTCCTTCCTTCCTTCCTTCCTTCCTTCCTTCCTTCTTTTCTTTTTACTAGGGATGAATCATGGGTGGAGGGAGGTGGGCCCTGTGTGGTCTCCAGACCTTTCCTACTTGGTAGGGGACTGTTGCAAACCAAATGTCCTCTCCCCCGGGGGTCTCCCAAGGCACTCACACTGGAGGTGGGATCCTGAGGCTTTGGAAATAATGGCCTAGGAAGCCTTATGGGACCATAGCTGGCTTCTAAATAGGTACTCAGTGGAGTGGAGACATTATCTAGGGTTTGCACAGCATGGGTTCACAGCTCGGTTTAGCTTATTCCTTTAGATGGGGATGGGGAGGACACACTGCGCTTGAGGGACGGGAGGGTGGTGGTAAGCCACAGCACATTCCACAGCTCTGGTGTCCTTGTTCTTGACTGGGGGATGGGCATGCGCCAGCATTCGGTCCTGGAAGAGAGGGGACCCTTGACTTGAGACTCTCAGGCCCAGCCTATGCTTCAGAGCTTGTTCCCATGTGGCTTCATAGCCATCTTCCCATGGCTTTTACAGGTCCATATGTACATAGCTGTGTGATGAGTGCAGACAAGACACACACCTGTGTAACTGGTATCTGGGCTCCATGAATCTGTCAAACAGGAGACTGGAGATCTGAATGACGGGAGAGAGAATGTGACATCCATGGAGTGTACTTCCATTGTAGGGCTTGAGGGGGGTGTCTAGTGCCAGATAAGAAGATGTGGGCTATGGGCTGGAGGGATGGCCCAGAGGTTAAGAGCACTGGTTGCTCTTCCAGAGGTCCTGAGTTCAATTCCCAGCGCCCACATGGTGGCTCACAACCATCTGTAGTGAGATCTGGCGCCCTCTTCCTGCAGGCATACATGCAGGCAGAACACTGTATACATAATAAATAAATAAATCTTTAAAAGAAGGTGTGGGCTTTGGAGGGGTTCCACATTTTGCACAAACACCCCCTCTTTTCCTGGATAGTTTGTCCCATGGTCTTGGGGCCAGGTCCCAAGCGTCAAAGCAAATAAAAGCAACACAGTGTCTGCACACTCCTGACCTGGCCTCCACGTGTCCTTGAATGGTCCTTCTAGTCCCAGAACCAGCAACTTAGGAGAGAGGAGGTGTTAGTTTTTCAGCTGCGTTGTGTGCTTACCCTGCAAGGAAATGCCACAAAACACGACAGAATCCGCTAACAAGAGTTTTATTAAAGGTAAAGGGACAGAGAGTGAACAGGCCTGTGGGAAACACGTATGTAGAGAAGAAGGAACCGGGAACATGGCGCCAGATTTTAAAGGCTGGGCGTGGACAGATCAGCGTCACTACTACACGCAAGCGCGTAGATCACATGGCCACGTTGCGCGCCTACATGACTAGTGGGGCGTCACGGATCTTGGTCACGCGAGATGCCCTGACCCGGAAATGGCTATCCTGACCTGGACCTGGTTAGGTGGAAGTGTCTGCCAGGCATATGCAAACACGCCTGACCGTGGGGGCTTGTTGTAAATCTTTCAGAAGGCAAGGCCCAACCTTTTTGTTTTTTGTTTTTTTCCCCTGAGACAGGGTTTCTCTGTGTAGCTTTTGGAGCCTGTCCTGGATCTCGCTCTGTAGACCAGGCTGGCCTTGAACTCACAAAGATCTGCCTGCCGCCTCTCTCTGCCTCCCGAGTGTTGGGATTAAAGGCGTGCGCCACCACTGCCCGGCGAGGCCCAAACTTTCATGTCCTTGTGGGGTCACTGCACCTTGAGAACTGAAGTCCTCCACAAGAAACTGTGACTTCTGGGCTAGCGAGGTGGCTCAGTGGGTAGCGGCATTTGCCACCAAGCCTGGGACTCACGTGGTGGAAGGAGAGAGTCAACTCCTGCAAGTTTTCTCCTGACCTCCACAGGCATGCAACGACATGTGCGTGCCTACACGTTCACACATGACATCCTCCTTCTGTCTGTCTCTTACACACACACACACAAATATGCAAAAAATGTTTTTTCCCTCTGGCTTGGTCCAGGGGTCTGAGTGGGGGTCCTCCCTTAGCTCACCCGTGCCCTGGCCTTCAGTTTCCATTTCCCATCTCTTCATGGAGATCAAACCCTGATCTGCTGAGGGTGGGTCAGCCTCTGTCCTATCATCTCGAAGGGTCCTGAACTGCAGCCTCTGCCAATCCCTGGCTCCTTCCAGGAAAAGCCTACCATCCCAGCCCTTTGGCCCTCTGCCGCCAAGCGCCTCCAGGAATGCCACAGGTATGCAAGGACTTGCGTACCTCCAGAGGTCCCCTTCCTGGAAGGCACGTGGTCGTTTGGCAAATGACCCCAAAACATCCCTGGCTAAAGAAATTCCCACACTGTTTCAGGTCTTTGTGACAACGTCACCTCCGATCTCGGGGAGAGCAGAGATGGAGTGGCTGGAAGGAGTTGGGAGGCCAGCAGCTGCTGCGAGGCTGGGTCCTCACAGGAAGGCAGAGGGAAGGGGCAGTTGTAAGTATGGCAGAGGGGGAGACAAAGAAACCAGCCTCTGGGCACACCCACAGTGGGGGACAGATTTCCCCTCAGTCAGCCAAGGGTCTAATTAGATCCTGCCCACTCTGTGTCTGAAGCCCTGGGGGGGGGGGGTTGGGGAGGGTTGAGGTCAGAGGGTAGAAGTGGGGGATATGCAGATAATTAGAAACATACTCTTGTGAGTGGCAGGCGCCATGAAGACCACCACTCCCCTCCCCGCCTTCTTCCCTCGGGTCCACAGGTCATCTCCCCACCCCCACCTAGACAACCCCAGCCAGGCTGACAGGAGCCTGTGAGGCGAAACTCCAAGGGACTGGCTTCCCAGGCCCTTACACAGTCTCTAAAGTGCAAACAACATATTTTCACCATGCAATGGTATTTAATTACACGTAAAAACAGAGCCATTAAACGGAAATTAAACCCTTGTTGGACTCACTTAATTCAGGGCATGACAAATTGCTTTCAGCGGAGGCGGCTGTGCAGTTCCCCTGGGGTGGAGTTGGGGGAAGAATGGAGATGAGCGGCTTCCATGGCTGGCTCGGTCCCCTCCTTCTCTTGGTCCCCTTGCCAACTCTAAATCCTGAAACTGGGGCCAGAATCCTCTTCCTAAAGACCACCCAGGCCAAGGGGGAAGGCTCTAGATTTACTAAGGATGACAAGGACAGGAGGTTGGGAAACCACTGTACCACCATTCAACGCAGTTATAGACACCCCAGGCTATATGGATGGTGAAGCCCAGATGGGACAGGAATCCAGGGCCAGGATTAGGACCTTGGCACCCAGCCTTGACCATGGATGCTGGGTCTCCCCCCACCCCTCCCTGGACTGATATCCTTGGCTCCTGGGCCTGGAGAGAAGTTGGGGCTGTGCAGTGTGAGTTAGAGACCAGAACTGACCTTGGGTGACTTTCTGGGGGGACAGCTTGAGAGTCAGACACTGGAATCAGGCAGACTAGGTAACTCTCTAGTGAGAGGTGGGTCGGCTGAGGCCTTTCGTAACAGGCCCAGCAGAAATGAAGAGCTTCTAAAGAGATGGTTGTGGCTCTCAATTGGACTATTGATCGGTACAATGACCCCAAAGAAATGGGAGATTCTCTAGGAATATTATGCTGGGAGAGGGAAAAGGTGTCATTTGAGGGTGGAGCAAGGGGTGGGGGTGTGTGCTTGTCTTTCAGAAAGAGACTTCACACAGTTCTAAAGACTTGTGAGACCACCTTACAGAATGAGACCAAAGCCCAGACAAGGATGGCTTGCTGGCGGGCAGAACCACACCTCAGCCAGGACTGCTTACATGTGCCTATCTTTGGCCCTCTACCTAAACTGTAGTCTCAGTTAAATCCTCTGGAAGGCAGACTTGGGGGCATTCTCTGTATCTCTTTGAACTTCTTTCTGGCTCTTGTAACTGGCTTATTGAGGACAGGTAGCCAGAGTATAAGTTGTGACTATTATGATATTGCTCTTGAGAGACACCCAGCTGACCGGACCAGGGTGTCCCACGCGTGAGGGAAAACATGCTGGGCAGATGTAGCGGCGGGTGGCATGTCATTCACAACCCACTTGGAAATGAGTTTATTTGATAGAAAGATAGGGAAAGACAGAAAGAAGCGGGGAGGGGGTTGAGGGTGCACGCCTCGTGGGAATGGAGAGAAAGAGAGCAGAAGAGAGGGAAGGGAGGGGTTTTCCCTTAAATCAGGTTTCTACATCAGGACGCAGGGCAGCCCCAAGGGGCGGGTTTCCAAGGGGTGCATCAGAATATTAACGGTGACCCCCAAGTTTGCAACCACAAAGGGACAGAGACACACTTGTCATTTTACTCCAAGGACATTTTTCTCCTCTTCCCACTTCAGCGGCATCAGCTGCTTTTCACCTGTTTCCTCTGACAAAACAAGCCTTTTGCTAACGTGTGTGTAAGACACATGTGTCCACAATCTGCTTATGATAACTGGCAGTGTTCCCTAAATTTGCACGGGATTTGAGAGTTTGATCGTTGGTGCCTGTACTGGCTGGTTTTATGTCAACCTGACGTAATAAGTTAGAGACATCAGAGTGGAGGGAGCCTGCCTCAATTAAGAAAATGCCTCCATGAGATCCAGTTGCAGGCAAGCCAGTAAGGCATTTTTTAAATTAGTGATTGATGAGGCCGGGCGGTGGTGGCGCACGCCTTTAATCCCAGCACTCGGGAGGCAGAGCCAGGCGGATCTCTGTGAGTTCGAGGCCAGCCTGGGCTACCAAGTGAGTTCCAGGAAAGGCGCAAAGCTACACAGAGAAACCCTGTCTCGAAAAACCAAAAAAAAAAAAAAAAAAAAAAAAAAAAAAAATTAGTGATTGATGGAGGAGGGCCCAGCCCATTATGGGTGGGGCCATTCCTGGGATGCTGGTCCTGGGTTCTTTAAGAAAGCTGTCTGAGCAAGCCATGATGAACAAGCCAGTAAGCAGCACTCCTCCATGGCCTCTGCATCAGCTCCTGCCTC